TTTTGTGTTTGTTTTACTTATTTATATCTATCAACCTGCTTACAACAGGTGTGTTGTGTGTCCTTCTTGGACACTAATTCTACAGACATATTACACTGTCAGTATTTCTCCTGCCGTCTCTGACTGTCCCTTTACTATCGTGTTCTGTCTGTTTTAGGGTGGCTGCAGACACTGAAAGACAAACACAAGAAAGCTCTAAAGGGGAAGTTTGAAGTTGTGTCTGAGGTAATTGCTAAGCCAGGAGAGCAGACCCTCCTCGATGATGTCTTTACACACGTGTGGATAACTGAGGGCAACTGTGTTGAGGTGAATCATGGACATGAAGTCAGACAGATAGAGACCGTCTCCAAAATCACAAAATCAGAGATCCACTCCGTCAAGTGCAGCGATATTTTCAAACCACTGCCAGGACAGACCAGACCCATCAGGACAGTACTGATGAAGGGAGTTGCTGGCATCGGGAAAACATTCACTGTGCAGAAATTCATTCTCGACTGGGCTACTGGAAAAGACAACCAGGACTTTGACTTTATATTTTTTCTTCCATTCCGTGAATTAAACTTGATCGAATCAGAAATGAGTTTACAGGAGCTAGTTCTGTATATCTGCCCAGAACTAAAATCCTCTTATAATGTTTTAGATGGCCACAAAGTCCTGTTCATCTTTGATGGTCTGGATGAAAGCAAACATCCTTTTAACTTTAAAACAAACCAGAGATGGTCTGATGTGAAAAAGCAAACTTCAGTGGACCTGTTGTTAACAAACCTCATCAAGAGGAACTTTTCTAATGATGCCTTCATCTGGATCACTACCAGACCGGCTGCAGCAGGTCTGATCCCTGCAGAGCTCATCCGCAGGGTGACAGAGGTCCTGGGGTTTGAAGACCAGCAGAAGGAAGAGTACATCAGAAAGAAGTGTAAGAACAGAGCTCTAGCAGACAGAATTATTTCACATATAAAGACACTGAGGAGTCTTTACATGTTGTGCTATGTTCCTGTTTTCTGCTGGATTGTAGTTACTGTTCTGGAGCACACATTGGAAGAGAGCAGAGGGGCCAATCCAACAACACTGACAGATTTCTATACATACTTTCTGCTTGTCTTACTCACAGCAAAGAAAAATAAAGAAAATGTCCTCAAATCAAATCAAGAAGCAATTCTGAAGCTGGGAAAGCTGGCATTTGATAGTCTAGAGAAAAACATCATTTTTTTCTATGAAAAAGATTTGAGAGAATATGCCATTGATCTCCACAACTCCTCCCTTTACTCAGGGGTGTGGAAGGAAATATTTAAACAAGATTCAGCCTTATTTCAGGAAAAGGTGTACTGCTTTTTACACCTTACTGTCCAGGAGTATTTTGCAGCTCTGTATGTTTTCGGTTCCTATCAAAACAATAATAGTAACCCACTAAAGAAAACAGTTCTGGGTGTTTCCAGGTTGGGAAGAATATCTCTATTCAGCCTGAATAAAGGTGCTCTAGAAAGAGCCATCCAGAGCAGGACTGGTCACCTTGATCTGTTTGTCCGATTCCTTTTGGGGATGGAAATGAAGAACAACCAGGAGCTTCTGAAGGGATTCCTGTCACACACACAAGATCACTCCAGTGACATCCAGAAAACAGCAGGATTCATCAAGAAGCTCATTAGAGGAACTTCCTCTCCTGAAAGATGCATGAACCTTTTCCACTGTCTGAGTGAACTGAAGGACAAGTCTTTAATGGATGAGTTCAATGTGACTCTGGATAAAGTAAAACGTTCAGAACAAACACTCTCACCTTCCCAGTGTTCAGCACTTGCCTATTTCTCCCTGCTGTCTGAGAAAGAGATTGATGTTTTTGACATGAGAGAATATGCTACATCAGAGGAGTGTGTACGGAGATTGTTATCTATGGCAAAAATAATAAAAACCCTTAGGTAAGTACATCAGATTTACTTCACATACAGAATAAGATGTCGAGTCAAAATTGCCCATATGAGCGGTCTTCTGGCTAGGTGCTTTGTGGAGTAGATGTTTTCACCTCATGCTTTAGCACACTTTTTGTTTTTAATTGTTAAAACCCACAATTATTTTTACTATTTTAAATTATTTATTCTACACTACATAACATTGTCTAAACCTAAACCTAAATGCAGTTTGGAAGAGAAAAGCTTGCAGCTCAAAACTCAAACACTCCAGCTACAGGTATCATTCATACTTCTTTGGTTGATACAGCTGTGGTATGAATGGTGGCTGTATTTCCAGAACTGGAAAGCCTCAGAAAAGGATTGTCTTTTCTGCTGACTTTTGAGGTTTATCGTGGCTCTGAGTCACAAACTTGACTGCACTAAATTGGCTGTAAACGTGCAGGGCCAGCAAATTCTCAAACTGGAGCCAATGACATTGTGGACAGTGGCTCAGATCTGAAGGTGGCTCAGACTCAACTGCTGTCAAGACCAAGCTGACAGAGCTAGAGAACTGTAATAGGAGACAAGATCTACAGATTGTGAGCTTGTCTGAGTTAATCGAGGGGTCTCATGTTACTATTTCTTCTCTGCATTTTTCTTTTGTTTTTGGAGCTGCTGGGGAAAGATGTAATTAAGCTTCCAGCTCTTGTGCAAACAGCCCAGGGCCTTGCCTTGTCATTATGTGCTTTCATCAGTATGAAGTGAAGGAATCGGGGCTGGAGTCAGTGAGGATCTATGCAAGTTTCAAAACCCCTGTGTGCTCTTTTTTCTCTATTAGTGAAAAATAAATGAATGTAACAAATTAGTTAGAAAAGAGCAAACATGAATACTGTCAATGATGGGAGTAAAAAACAGTTCTACCAGTTATTTGAAGACAGTAAGGGATTTAAAGATGCCCTTTAACAGAAATTACAATTAAGTGCATATTTGCTTTTAAATACTAATCATACCACTGTATAATATATTTCAAAATTAAAATCTAAATTAAGAAAGTTGTGTTAATAAAACAATAAACATTTAAAACTAGTGGTGTTATGCAATAATCTCCCTCCTTCCCCTTCTTCCCCACTTTGATAATGAGGACACTTAGACCCTTGCAGAGTGAGAAATGTGGCAAAGTGGAGGGGGGAAACAACAGATGAAACATAAAAAAGTGGGATTTGAGATCGTGAGAATTTCAGTGAGCGGGTCATGCTGTAGTACAAGTTATACTTTACTTGACCATCATGCTCTTAAGCACTCTTATACATTTACAGATTTCAAACCTGAAGAGCAGTGCTTTTCACTGTAACAACACAAACATGTTTTAACTTAAACTTAATTTAACCAACAAATGTGATTTTTTTTTAAACAGAAGATATTTACCTATTTCACATTGACCTATGATTACCATTCTAAACACACACCAGTAATGAAGTAAATAACAGTGAGATAAATAAGAGTGGTGCCTGATGGAATAATAATGTGCTGTGTAAAACATCAAAAGTTAAATTGCAGAGTTTACTGTATGTGCTATCTCAGAACCTCCAGGTAAGTGCTGTTACAGAACCTAGTAGTCCTTGTCTTGTCTTAATAGACCTAAGCCGTCTAGAGCTTTGTGTTTCAGTCCAGAGAGTCCACAGAGAGAAGGGGGTGTCCTACAAATTTGGAAGTGATACAGACTACTGTCTCTAGTGGTTTTCTTGTCCTGGGCAGAAGTATTGCCAAACCAGTTATGGAGAAGGACAAAACATTCTCAATGACATATCTATTGAAAAGGGTCATTGCTTTCTGCAACATTTCAAATGTACAGTATTTAACTGTCTCAGGAAGAACAGCCTCTGGTGAGCAAACTGGATTGGGTCCAGGTGCATTCTAGACAGGAAATTGGCTATAAATCTCTCAAAAACTTTCAAACCAACAGAAATCAAGGCTATTGATCTGTAATCATTGAGGCAGTTCACAGTGGATTTCTTAGGTACTAGTACTATAGTAGCTATCTTAAAGCAGTGTGATATTGTAGCTTGCTTAAGGGATAAATTGAAATTAGCTGTAAAGATAGGAGAAAGGTAAGTGGCACAAGATTTCAGATGTAGCTGTAGATTTTGGTTGTAGCTGTTGTGTATTTAGAACTGTGCTCCTGAATGATAAAGGGTGGCTGGAGGGGCTGCACTGGCTGTGTAGGGCAGTCTGCTGCAGGTTCTTTTGTACATCAAACTGCAGTAGAATTTATTCAACTTGTTGGGGAGAAAGATATCATTACCTGAAGCAGTTTGTTTCACCTTGTAGTCTGAGATTAGTTGAAGGCCTGGCCAGATACCTCAGTTTTCTTTGATTAGTTTATTTTCAAGTTTGTTCTTATATTCAGGTTTGGCCCTCTTTACTACATTTTGGAATTTGTATTTGCCAGATTAGAAACCGGCATCATCTCCCTCTTTGAAAGCTCTGTTCTTTTTTTCCCACGGGGTTTTAATTTCCCTGTTGAACCAGGGCTGATTACTATTGCACACAGTGAATGGTTTGCAAGGAATGTATACACTCTTCCAAAAGAGAAAATATGATGTTACCGTGTCAGTAAGCTCATTAAGATCACACCAGGCCTCCTTAAACATGCTCCCATCTGTGGTATCAAAACAATCCCTTAGCACTTTCTCAGTCTCATCTGACCACTGTTTTACCCTTCCTATTGTTGGTTTACATGTGTTGGATCTGTTTATATCTTGGGATAAGAAATGCTACAGTATGACATGACTGACTGAAAGAGGTGCGGACTTAAACTCGGTATGACTATAGAATAGTGCGCAGCACCGTAGCAGTGTTCCAGTGTTCTGTCCTTCCTAGTTGCAACTTCTATCTACTGTTTTTATCTGGGTAAAACCTTCCTTGGATTTGAGTGCTTAAAATTTCCCAAAACAATAATTGGGGAATCTGGATATGAATTTTTAGCCTCAGTGATTTTCAACGCTTAATGTTGGATAGCAAAAGTCATTTGCATCTGGTGCATTATAAACAGCTTAAGTAAACGATTGGCTGTCCAGTCTGAAAAAAGTAGAGAGAAATCCTGCAGATTCACCACGGAACCTGATAACACTGAACCTAACCAGGTGAAACAGAGCACAGAACAGTTAGAGTAATCCTGTCTAAGGTTGAATTGCTTATTGATTACAGTAAATGAGCAAAGCCAGTTCATCCATCTTGTTTGGCAAAGAGTGCGCATTTTACTTTCTTGATAGTGGTGAGCTGAGATTAGTGTTTCTAAGATGGGTATGAACTCCAGTTCATCAGACCCGTTTCTTAGTCTGGGATGGGATACGGGTGCACATGATACGTACAGTACATTGTTCAAATCAATAAAGTCACATGATGAAAAAATCAGCTTTGGTTGTTCACTTCAGTTTGTGTCATATGCAAAAGTTCAATGAAATGCTTATTTGCATGTGTGCTCCAATACAAAAACTTTAAAGGTATCATCAAAAACAAACACAGAACAATAGTAACAACAATAAGTTCAATAACATACAACTTAAAAAAGTCAGATAAGCAGTGCGAGAAAAAAACATCACTGTGAGCCAGGGGTAGGGGTTGAGTTCAATAATCTGACAGCTTGTGGGAAGAAACTGTCTCTGAGTCTGGACGTTTGTGCCTTGATGCTCCTATAATGCTTATCAGAGGGAAGGGGAGAGAAAAATGAGAAACCAGGATGACTGGTATCTTTAGCAATACTTCCAGCCTTCCTGAGACAGGAAGTTGTACAGATGTCTGAAATAGAGGGGAGCTGTAATGATGTAATGATGGACTGGGCTGACCTGACTACCCCTTGTAACTCCTTCCAATCAGAGCTGCTGCCAAATCACACTGTAATATCACATGTGAGCACACTCTCAATAGTACACCTGTAAAATGTGATAAGACCAAATTTTTTCAACTGTCTGATGAAGTAAAGGTGCTGTTGTGCCTTCTTTGTAGCTTCAGTTACATGCTGGGACCATGTTTAATCATTAGTAATGAAGGTACCCAGGAACATGAAGCTGTTAATGATCTCTACAGCCACCCATTGATCATAGGGGTGTTATCCCCACCCTGCTTTCTAAAATCAATGACCAGTTCTTTGGTTTTGCTTACATTGAGGGAGAGATTATTGTCAATGCACCACTCCACCAGTTTCCTGACCTCATCCCTGTAGGCTGTCTCATCATTACCGGTGATTCAGCCAATGATGGTGGTGTCATCAGCATATTTGTAGATGGAGTTGGAGCTGTGTCTGGCCACACAATTGTGGGTAAACAAGGAAAACAGTAGGAGTCTAAGCACACAACCCTTAGGGGCAGCTACTGTATATTGATGGTCAGCGTGGAAGAAAGTTTTCCATCAACCCTCACAGTCTGTAGTCTGCCAGTCAGGAAATCCATAACTCACCTGCATAGAGAGGTGTTGATGCCCAGGTCATTCAGCTTCCTGACTAGTCTGGAAGGAACTATTGTGTTAAATGTGGAGCTGTAATCAATGAATAGCATTCTGATGTACAGTATGTGTCTTTATCATCCAAATGAGCCAGAGCAGTGTGAAGAGCCAGGGAAATAGTGTCGTCAGTGGACCTGCTATGCCAGTATGCAAACTGGAGGGGCTTTAAGCACTCAGGTACTATTGTGTTAATGTGCCTCATGACCAGCCTTTCAAAGCATTTCATTATGGTAGATGTAAGCGCTATCTGTCTGTAATCATTAAAAGGTTGCAGTGTTTTTCTTAGGCACTGGTATAATGGTAGTTTTCTTAAATCACACAGGAAGGATGATTGTAAAAGTGAAAGATTGAAAATATCTGTAAAAAACGTGGCCAACTGGTCTGCACAGGACTTAAGGACCCGTCCAGAAACACCATCTGGTTGCTTTCCATACAGTATTTTCACCCGTCTGGAAGTTGCCCTGACTTCAGCCTCCATGACAAACATGGCTGTATCATCAGTGGCTAAGAACACTGGGACCGGCGGTTCA